CGTTATTATAGAAGGTAATTCATTACAAATGGGACACAACACAAAATGCGACACATCAATCTGACACAAATGGGACACATCACGTCACGTCACAAAACGGGAAGTATTAGAGACTGTTACTTGTTCATCAAACTGCGCCTGTAATTGTGCACATGCTTACCAGACGAGCGGTTTCGCCCCTCTCCTCCTCTGCTGGCCGCTTTCAAAATGTTCACATGTTGCAATGAGAACTAAAATAATGCAATGCATAAAAGTTATAATATAGTCACGTCGGACTGACACTAACAATGCAAACTAACCAAAAACTGTCAAATGTAATACATTGATATTTAGCAGAATAGGGAAGATTTCCTAACAATGTAGCTGCCTAATTTAGCTTTTTAACTGGTCAATATGTTGATTTAGTGACACAGGCTACACAATTACCACAACTATATCTTTTAAAGAGTGGTTCTTTCTACACACATGTATCTTTTTATAATTAAACCTAGCAGAATGGTTTTACATCATTCATAAATTAGATTTTACCCATGAAACATAGGCAATTAAGACATGAATGAAGCAACTGCAAAACACAATGTTCACCAAAAACAGTGATGAAAATTAAAACTTGGCAGTTTTCCAAAAACATTTTGGATCCCAGAAATTCATCAGAATATCGCCTAGAACTTCAGGGTTTGTTTGCATAAGTAAAAGTTCCATAATCAGTGGAATCACTAGGTTTAAGTTATAATCACGCTCCTACAATTTGTTTATCATTTGCTAGGACACCGACAGATTTTTTGAACCTAGCACAATGAAAGTGTCAATGACACTGTAGCTCCCTATAAAAAAAGACACAAATGAGTGAGTGAGAAGAAGTCAGTTTTAAATTGAGCAACCATCGACGTACATTATAGAAACGAAGAGTATATATGGAAGAACTCTTCCATAATATATTCTGATAATTATATGTGTAATTTATTATGTGAAAATAAATGTTTGAGATGTGAAAGTCTGAGATGTGGGCGAGTGATGGCGTTACACCTAAATGATCGCCATTTAACATTTTTATAATATTCAGATTTAGTAACGTGTAAGATTGAGAGGATACCCTACGCTTATTCCACGTAGCTGCTATATACCACATGACAATGGTGTTCCCTGACCATAACACAACTTTTGTCAAAGGTTAATTGGTTGCATGGAAGTGTTTACTTCGTATGAGTTTTTCTAGTCAGTAGCACACGGTTGCGGATCTGTATATCGCAAATAATTTATAAACCACAAGAGCGCGCAAGCGTCTGGGCTCATCTGAGGTCTGTTGCTACGAACGTAAAATTTCAGTCGTGCGTAGTACCACATTTGTTAGGCGCAGATATGCAGACACGCAGTTGCGTACACATCATTGTTAGGACACGCCACTATCGCAGATGGAGGGTAGGGGAGGGTGGGGGGAGGGGTGGGGAAGGGGGAGGTGGGGGAGGGGCTCTAATAGCAAAAGCAGGTCACTCCTATAACAGTCAACAAATCCATGTTTAACCCTCCTCTTGAGGGTCAAAAGGTTATCCGACACTTGACTCTTCGCATGTCAGCGGAAGGGACATTTCATGGTCCTTTCAATAAAGCCATAAAAATGCTAGGTCACCGCTGAAAACAAAAAAGTTTTCAATCGCTCCGTCTCAGACCATGTCCTCAGAAAAGTGTATAAAAATCTGCCCTGTGCCCATTGACCTTGACCTGTGACCTCCAATTTCGGCACCAGTGATGGCTTTTCCTACCATGATGCTATACACCGACTATCACAAGCCTAGGTCGAGACCGTTTAGATTTGTGCCGCAATTCTGCATTTCCTCCCTATACCTTAAGTTAAGGAGTGAATGTTCCCCCTTATTTTACACCTCTTGACCTTTGACTTGACACGCCCGCACTTCGAATCCCACCGTTTTCGATTACCACCTCACGTGCCCGAATAGCGCATTACAAATTTTTAAGTCAGAGCACGCCAGAGCGGTTTCTTAGGAGGGCAATGATACACATGGATGGGAACCGGAGTCACATTATTAATGAACGGATTGCCATGCCAACGGACAGAGGAAAGAGATGACAGATCGAGCGGTTTAAGATTTGTGCCCACTGTTGACGACGCAACGGACGGATCGCACGGACGGACGGTCACGGACCGGCACGGACGATCATGCGATCTACAAGCTGGCATGACTATGTCAGATGAGCGAAATGAATCACAACTTTGTGACGGTAAGATGGCGCTAATACCCGCTTTGATGTTTCTTAGGCGATGGCATTGCGAAATAAATAGGTTATCTGCGTTCCGACATGTTTTTGTAAAACTTTACTCTAATATAGATGTTTTATCGGCAGGTGATAGGAAATACCGAATGTTGTATTAAAGATATTGTCAATGAAATCTTGTAAAACGAACCAGACGAGTGTGACACCACACTGTTATCTGCGTGTCTATATAACATGCTATATAATTGCCAAAACCTACCTAATTTGCATAATTTTTTTTTAAATATCAAAACCCCTAGCCCTTATTCATTTACATACCAAAAATGAGCAAAATCCGTTGAACCTGAACTAACTAATGGTAATTCCCATTTTTGCCAAAAAATTGCCGTGGCTCGAAAGTACGTCGACTGGCGTGCTCCAAAATAGGACGTTCAATATGGGAGCATAGCAGTAACAACTATACCCAATTTCAAACATGTGGGTCTAATGGTTCCTGAGTTATCGTTGATCGTAGCCAAATGTTGACGGACGTACGACGGACGACGACCCATGGCAATAGCTCAGCTTGACGATGTCAAGGTGAGCTAAAAACTACATTAATCTATACTGAAAACTTCTAGGAACTGCTAGGAAAACTTCATTGTATCTTCATGCTCATAATGCATAACAGAACAACATACAGGGTTCTCCCTCAAAAATTTCAGGAGGCCCCCAATACACAACTATGAGCACTTATTCAGCTTAGAGACCTATCAATCTGGTGAATACCACAGCATGACTGTATTGGTATTTCCAAAAGTAAGCACATGTGGGAATAAAGACATATATATGCTAGTGTACTATGGCATTTTACAGGATTTACGGAAAGTTGCAAATTAGCTTTGAAGGTATGTCAGAACAGACATGCATAAACGGCCTGGGAAGACCACTGAAGATACACCGAGTAATTTCTAGGGTTGAAATAAGGGGTATGAAAATCATTTTAAAGATTTTAATTTTTAATATATAAAGCATTACTAGTTAGTCCAGTTGTACCTTAAGTAACCTCATAAAGATTAGTCTTCAAGGTCAGGGGGACTATATCAAAGACGAGTAGAGACAAAGTTGATCAAATAAACAGATAAACACTGCAGCTCAAAGTAGAAAAAGCTTCAATTTTACAATTATTAACCAAAAAGGAAGAAATCCAAGAATTCCAATATGGAATGTCAGAAACGAAGAATCTAAACTGATAAGATCCTAATCCTTCGAATATGGCACATGATGAAAGTAATGATCACGTAAGAGTAAGAGTAAGAATTAGATGATCAAAATTGCTACAAACAGGCTTGATCAAGCAAGAGCCAGGGGCGTAAATCCCGGGGGTGGATGGGGGGATGCATCCCCCCACTCTTGAAGGAGAGGGGTTGGCCTGTACAAATATCCACCCTTGAGATTCAAAAAAAGAGAGAACAAAAAGAAAGAAGGAAGAAGAAAAAAGAAAGAAATGTGATTGTTTCAATTTCAGCATAATGCATGAGAAATGAGTTATTTTAAATGTATGTATAACTGTATAGCCTACAGTACAATTCAGTGTTAATCATGGCTATTGCATGGTATGCAAGACAGACTTTCAAGTGGGGCACGGAGGAAGGAGTGACTGCCAGAGGCATATAGTCTCTCAAAAGCATAAGTGCTATGCGGGTGCAGTGGAATCTATACACCCAATATATCAAGCTTCTTTGCAGCAGATATAGAGAATTGTCTGTCTTGACGCAGAAGTGAGATTCACGGATTATTTCATTGAACACAATGTGCCTTTGAGG